TCCCCAATCCCCCAGACCCCAACAGACCCCGCACTGGAGAGGAGCGGCCTGTCCTTACTTTCCGGTGCGGAGCCCATGAAGACGAGCAAACGCCAACCCCACGGCGGGGCATGAGGCTTGGGGCGCAGACGCAGACACCAGGGAGGGAGGGCCCCAGCCAAGCAGGGGCCGCGACTCACCCCAGGAGGCGAGCTTGAAACGCCTCGGCCGCCCGGTTCACGCGTCCCCACATCGCGCCAGAGCAGAGCCGGGTCGGCCCGCCGACCTAAATCGCGCGCCGCCGCGACGTCAGGGCCGGGGCCCCGCCCTGTCGGAACTACTTTCACTCCATTCAGTCCCGCGCGTCCACAAAGCCAAACTTCCTTAAGTCCACGCGGCGACGCGGACTGTCCCAATCAGTAGTCTTCCATCCCGGTAAAAAAAAAAAAAAAAAAAAAAAAAAAAAAAAAAAAAAAAAAATTTAAATCTTCGCAAGGGTTGCGAGGAAACCTCCTCGTCTTGCCTGCTTGGCCACGCCCCCCTGCGGATCACTCCACGAAAAGGAGTCCATGTTTTCTAACAACGACTATTAGCTTTGAAAGATGAGAGGCACGTCTCTTGACACACGGAGAGAAGGGACGCGCTCATTTTTGTTTTGCAGCTCGGTGGAGAGGCCTCTTGCGTCTCCAGGTCGGTTCTGCAAGGGGCGGGGCGGGCTGACGGCGGCAGGTTACATATAGAGCGGCAGTGCGGGGCACTTCCTTTTCCTGTGGCGGCCGCCGGGTCGAGAGTAGCGTGGCGCTCGCCTGCCCCCGCCATGGTGAGTGCCGGGCCGTTCGGCTGTGCGCTGTCCCCTGCTCATGGGGCCCACAGGGAAGGGCTGGGGGTTTGAGACGTGGACTGGGGGCTACGAGGCGAATAGGGGGGCGCGAACCCGGCGCTTGTCCCCTGGGCCCCGGCGGCACGGTCGCCATCTTGGGCCAGCGTGGGCCGCCCGGGGGCGCAGCGAGTTCTCTGGCGCCGCAGATCTGGCTCTCCCTGGGCCTTAAGAAACGTGGTTTCTGCCGGGAACTCGGAAACCCATGGGCCTAAGACCGGATGGGGCAGGAAGGCGAGTCGTTTGAGGGCCTTGTGTCCGCACGTGCTTGGTGAGGTGTATTCCATCTATCGAAGGTTTTGCTAAAGGAAAAGAGCGTGCGTTCTCCTCGGTCCTGAAGTCTCGTCTCTGTCCAGCCTCGCATCGTCTTTTCAGAGCTTTAGAGAGTTGAGAGTTGTGTTCGGCGTCGTCTGGGTGGGAATGCGCTGCCGGTGCCCGTCTGCTGTGCTGTGTAGAGTTCTGTGCCGGTCAGGTCCTTGGGATGTCGGGATCCTAGCCGAGGCGGCCTGGTACGCGGTTCCATCAGGGCAGTGAGCCGCGACAGCGGACAGTGGCCGCAGGGAGTGAGGAGTTGTGCAAAGGGTGCTTGGGATGAGCACTTGCCGGCTTGGAGGCTGGAAGTCCCAAGACGACGAGGATGCGTAGGTGGGGATCAGGGAGCTACAGCAGGTAGAGGGCTGGTGTTAATCATCGCAGCGTGTGCTTAGGAGAGGGTGGGGCCCTGGTAGGCAAGATTCTCCGGCAGTGGGGACGAACCGTTTAGGTGACGGCGTTAAACTGCGTTTTCAAACATCGTGAAACGCTCTCGACTAGGCAGTTGTGCTTGCTTTGACGGTTTTGTGGTAAATCATTCTTTTTGGGGTGCTGAGTGTAAGAGAAGGCACTGAAGTTAGCTCAGTCTTTTGCTGGTGTTTTGGCTGTAAACATTGCTTGCCCCACATGCTGACCTCTTCAGCAGTTGAGTGTCTAATGCTATCCTTTGTTCTTGGAGAGAGTTTGCTTCTAACATTACTTCTCAAACATTCTTTCCTCTCCAGGCGTGTGCTCGTCCATTGATATCGGTATACTCTGAAAAGGGGGAGTCATCTGGTAAAAATGTCACTTTGCCAGCTGTGTTCAAGGCTCCCATTCGACCAGACATTGTGAACTTTGTACACACCAACTTGCGCAAGAACAACAGACAGCCCTATGCTGTCAGTGAATTAGCAGGTATGGATTTATGCCCCCACGGTATATTTTAGGGGCTGCTTTACAGCAGTGATGAAATTCCACATCATTGGTCCGTGTTTCTGAACCACATGATTCTCTTGGATGATCTGATGCTGTTGCTGCTGTGCATAATAGTCATAGACGCATGTGATCTGGTAGCTAAAATTGTTATTTCTCCCAATTTTAGGTCATCAAACCAGTGCTGAGTCTTGGGGTACTGGCAGAGCTGTGGCTCGAATTCCCAGAGTTCGAGGCGGTGGGACTCACCGTTCTGGCCAAGGTGCTTTTGGAAACGTATCCTTTGTTCGTGATTTTTTTCTCTAAGGGAGAAGGGGCTTCCTTCACTTGGAGGTCTCGCTTGCAATGATGTCGTAATTTGCGTCTTACTCTGTTCTCAGCGACAGTTGCCTGCTGTCAGCAAGCTGGTACAGAAGGTTGACGAAAATTGTTACTGAGCGAGAAAAATAACCTTTTTCTAATTACTAAAATTTGAGAATTTTTTTTTTTTCTTTTTAGTTGAGCTGGAGTCTCCCTCTGTCGCCCAGACTAGAGTGCAGTGGCACACATCTGGCCACCACAGCCTCAACCTGCTGGGGTCCTGCTATCCTTCCACCTCAGCCTTCCAAATAGCTGGAACTACAGGCGTGTGCTATCATGCCCAGCTAGTTTTTGATTTATTGTAGAGATGAGGGCTCACCAAGTTGCCCAGGTGGGTCTCGAACCCACGGGCTCAGGCAGTCTACTTGCCTCAGTCTCCCAAAGTGCTGGGATTACAGGCTGAGCCACCGAGCCCGGCCAAGAAGTGTGTTTCTTAACTGGGAAAATAGATGTGTCGTGGAGGCCGCATGTTTGCACCAACCAAAACCTGGCGCCGTTGGCACCGGAGAGTGAACACAACTCAAAAACGGTATGCCATCTGCTCTGCCCTTGCTGCCTCGGCCTTACCAGCGCTGGTCATGTCTAAAGGTTTGTAGTATATTGCATCAGATAAACTAATAAGTCTATAGCGTATTTCAAAATAAATAAGAGGGTCATTTGGATGTTAGCATAAAGTAGTACTTAAGTTGATGGCTTTCCCAGTTACACTGATTTATTTTAATGAATCGGTTATCAAGGAATACTAACTAGATGGGAAACTAATTAGTGAAATAGTGGTTCAGTGTACCATTAGAAAATTTAAGCACCCATTCTGTTCCCTACCACATTTTAATTTTACCATCAAAATGATGAGATTCCACTTCATTGGTCCGTGTTTCTGAAACACATGATATTTGTGGAAATTCTGATCTGGCAAATTGGGTGCCTTTTTGGTTATATAAATAATGCTAATTGAAAGGTTCAGGATAACCAGGTGAGTATTGGGTGGATTTTGTTAGGTCATCGTATTGAGGAAGTTCCTGAACTTCCTTTGGTGGTTGAAGATAAAGTAGAAGGCTACAAGAAGACCAAGGAGGCTGTTCTGCTTCTGAAGAAACTTAAAGCCTGGAATGATATTAAAAAGGTAGGTTTACTGAGTACACTGACAGTTAAGAAACTGAAGATGTGTTGCTGGAATGATGTTATCGTTGGTCCTAAGACTGTTCCTTTGTAGGTTTATGCCTCTCAGCGAATGAGAGCTGGCAAGGGCAAAATGAGAAACCGCCGTCGCATCCAGCGTAGGGGCCCCTGCATCATCTACAATGAGGACAACGGCATCATTAAGGCCTTCAGGAACATCCCTGGTAATTGTCCTGCTTATGTGTTTGATTACCTATACCATATATCTGCACTCCTCTTGTTATGATGAAAGTTCACTTCATGGTCCGTGTTTCTGAAACGCATGATTTTGTGGAAGTTCTGATTTGTAGCTGAGTGGCACCATTGAGGGTGAGGCTTCATGGCATGAATGAGCTAGTTCTTGGGGGACCTTATATAGTGCATGAGCCATAGAAATGATTTGTGTTTCCTGTTGAAGTCTAGACCCCCTAATTCTCCTTTCCCTTGAAAAGGCATTACTTTGCTTAATGTAAGCAAGCTGAACATCTTGAAGCTTGCTCCTGGTGGGCATGTGGGCCGTTTCTGCATCTGGACTGAAAGTGCTTTCCGGAAGTTAGATGAACTGTACGGCACGTGGCGGAAAGCCGCTTCCCTCAAGAGCAACTACAAGTGAGTGTCTTTCATGCACTGCACACAGTTTGAGATCACGGGTGGTTACCTTCAGTGACCTGTGTGTTCTCTGAGGAATGGACTGTATTTTATTCTCACTTATGCTGAGAGGGTCAAATACTCTACCTCAGTCCATGTTTATGAGGAGTGATGGAGTAGTAGAAATTATGGAGAGCATCAGTGGTTAAAAACCAAGCTTGTCCATCTCTTTCTTTCAGCCTTCCCATGCACAAGATGATGAATACAGACCTTAGTAGAATCTTGAAAAGCCCAGAGATCCAAAGAGCCCTTCGAGCTCCACGGTAAAGTGTTAATTGCAGTGTGATGCTTGCTCCAGTCTTATAACGTGCATGTATAAGTGTTAATACAGTGACTACCTTTTTATAGCAAGAAGATTCACCGCAGAGTCTTGAAGAAGAACCCACTGAAAAATCTGAGAATCATGTTGAAGCTAAACCCATATGCAAAGACCATGCGCCGGAACACCATTCTTCGCCATGCCAGGAACGTAAGTGGTAATTATTTTACTGATAGGTCAAGTTTTTAGAGAGATTGGATTCTTAATGTTTTCTGTGTAATTGGTTGCAGCACAAGCTCCGGGTGGATAAGGCAGCCGCCAAAGCAGACAAGAAGGGGATTTCAGGCAAGACGCCTGTGGCGGGGAAGACAGGAGAAAAAAAGGCTGTAGTTGGGAAGAAGCAGAAGCCTCTGGTGGGAAAAAAGGCAGCAGCTGCCAAGAAACCAGCTGAAAAGAAGCCGGCAGAAAAGAAACCTACAGAGGAAAAGAAGTCGGCCGCATAAACTTTAAATGTTAATTTCATAAAGAGCTATAATCATTTTGGACAACTTATCTTGAATAAAGACCTGATAAAAGAGGCATTAAGAGAAACATGGCTTGTTGGTGTCTTGTGTTAATCTTGATTAAAAAATCTTTTTAGGCTGAGCTCGGTGGCTCAGCCTGTAATCCCACGCCTTTGGGAGGCTGAGGTGAGTGAATTGCCTGAGCCCACGGGTTCGAGACCCGCCTGGGCAGCGAGACCTCATCTCTACAACAAATCAAAAAATTAGCTGGGCGTGATAGCGCGCCTGTAGTTCCAGCTACTTGGAAGGCTGAGGCTGCGGTGGCTGGGAGCGGCCATTGCATTCCAGTCTGGGCGACTGAGTGAGACTCCAACTCAAAAAAACCCACAACTTTTTAATAACACTGTTCTCCATAATTCCCAGATTTTAATATGTTCCATTTTCCATGCTGTTATAAAATGGGGCCTTGAATTTATACTAAATCCATGTACTTGAAGGGAAAGGTAATTCTGAAATCCTTTTTCTAATTTATAGAGACAATGACTTGTTTTGGTGCTCAGGCAGGTCTCAAACTCCCGGGCTCAAGCCATCCCCATGCCTTGAGATTTTGTGAATAACATCTTGAAAAACAGATAAAGGAGGCTGGGCGCTGTGGCTCATGCCTTATAATCCCAGTACTTTGGGAAGCTGAAGTAAGAGGATTGCCTGAGCCCACGGTTTGAGGCCAGCCTGGCCAACTTAGTGAGACCTTATCTCACTACAGTAAATCAAAAAATTAATCCGGGCATGGTGACACGTGCCTGTAGTTATATCTACTTGGAAGGCTGAGGCGGAAGCATCGCCTGAGCCCAGCAGGTAGAGGATGCGGTGGCTGGGAGTGTGCCATTGCCCTCCAGCCTGGGTGACAGACTCCAACTCAAAAAAAAACAAAGGACTTGTCTCAGGAATACACAAAGGCTGTTCAAATTTAGCCCCCAAAAGGGAATTGGGTTAAGTTCCACGGAGGTTCGATGTAACCACAAGAGGGCACACTAGAACACGGCAGTCTGCTGTGCGCCTGACAAGCGCCAGAAGACTGCACCGCTGGAGACTTGCCCCGCCTGTCTCCCAGGAGTTCAGGGCCGCGTGATGCTGGCCGAACACGTCCCGTACTTTCCTAGGCTTGAAGGAGCAGCTTCTGCCCTGGATTAACCTGCGCTCCTCTGCGTCCTCGCGCGGCTCCTCCCCAGACCCGGGTCCAAGTCTCAGGCTGGGCACCCTTCATGCATGAGCTTCCGCGTGCGCAGCCTCGGCCTTGGCCTCCGAGATCCTGCCCGCAGGAGCCTCGGCGACAGGGCCACGGACCGCGCGGCCCTCCCGGATCGCCGGAGGCTGGAGGCGCCACGAAGGCCGCTCACCGGGATGAGTCTGAATCTCGAAACTGCTCTACGGAGACGGCCTGCGGGTTCGCCGGGATCCTCACGAATCCCGCCCGTCCTCCCGAGTCCTGACATCAGTCACTCAGAAATGCTGGGCCCTCACGCGAAGCTCACGGCCCGCGAGGCCGGCTGGCGACAGCGAAGTCCGGAAGGGCACTCACGCCCCGCCCCCAACATGGGCGTCGGCCCCGCCCCTTCCGGCCTCCGGAGTCGGGTCTCTGGCGTCGTCACCCAGAGTGGCGTCATTCCCAAGCGCCCGAGACGGGTGACGAGGAGACATGCTGAGCCGGCTCCAGGAACTGCGCAAGGAGGAGGAGACGCTGCTGCGGCTGAAGGCGGCCCTACACGACCAACTGAACCGCCTCAAGGTGACCTGGCCCGCCCCCGCCCGCCCGCTGCCCTCCCGAGCCCGGCCCCCGGGACTGTAACCACAATCCCCCAGGACCAGCGCGCGCGGGCTGCCCCCACCGCCAGAGCCCAACGCCTCCGGGAGAGGATGCGGTGCTCTCAGCCAGCGCCGAGAAACACCTCCGTTTTCTACTCTTGCTGCCTCTTTCATGACTGAGGCGGCGGCTCAGTCCTCGGGAATCCATCCCGCTTTGGCGTCAGGTGATGCCGGACTTTTTTTTTTTTTGAGTTGGAGTTTCACTCCGTCGCCCAAGCTGGAGTGCAATGGCACGCTCACGGCCACCCCAGCGTCGACCTGCTGGGCTCAGGCGATCCTTCTGCCTCAGCATTCCAAGTAGCCAGAACTACAGGTGCGCGCCACCATGCCTGGCAGACTTTTTGGATTTATAGTAGAGATGAGGTCTCGCCAAGTTGCCCAGGCTGGTCTCGAACTCATGGGCTCAGACAGTCCTCTCGCCTCCGCCTCCCAAAGTGCTGGAATTACAGGCTTGAGCCACCGCGCCCGACCTTTTTTTTTTTTTGAGAGACTGGGTTTTGCTTTGTCACCCAGGCTAGAGCACAGTGACCTGATTACAGCTCACTGCATCCTCGAACTCCTGGGCTCTAGCGATCCTCCCGTCTCAGCCTCCCAAGTAGCTGGTACTACAGGCCTGCGCCACCATACTCCCCTGCAGTTTTTTGATTCTTTGTAGAGACGGGGTCTTGATCTGATGCCTAGGCTGGTTTTGAACTCCTGGGCTTAAGCAGTTCTACCTGCCTCCCAGAGTGCTGGGATTACAGGCATGAGCCTCTGCACCCAGCCATCGCCTGACTTTTTAGTGACACCTTGTATCATCTGCCTGAGCTGCGCCATCTAGAGAAGGGAAGCCATGGCTCAGCCAGAACACCTGTACAGCCCAGAGGGACGGGGCTGGCATCTTTCATTGCCTGTCTCCTTAAAAGGCAGAGAAAGCCTAAGCGCCTGCTTCACCTTCCCCAGAGCAGGGAGATGCAGTTTTCACTCCCTATTGTGAGGCCAGCCTTCACATTCACAGTAGGCATCGTTTACACACATGGGTTGCCCAGTAAAACAGTAAGGAAAATGTCCTCAACTCCTCTTTCCTAGGTTGAAGAGCTGGCCCTCCAGTCCATGATCAGTTCCAGAAGAGGGGATGCAGTGCCGTCTTCTCAGCCAGCACCCGAACAGCCATGTGATGTAAGCCTGACCAAGTGCGGGCTACGGAGATACAGAGTTCGCTCTGCCCTGTGCTGCTTGGTTGGCCAGAAGTTGTTGTTAATTCACATTTCCTAGTGCAAAGGACTCGGGGTTTCTGGTAGGAATTTTCTGACTTACAAAGGTGATGACTACATGATTGTTTTAGGCAGGGAACAACCCACCTTTCTACTTGCTGGCTATACTTTAGTTATGTCTTGCATCCATCTTCCTAGTCTTGCTTTCGCTCTAGTTAATCAGTTGAACCCAGGTAGGGTGTGGAGTTTTGTAGGGATTATGTCAAAACTCTTGCTGCTTTGTGAGTAACCTTGGGATTCTGGAAGAGAGTGTGGCTTCAACTACAAGACTCAGTGCTGAAAGAGGGGCTGAGACCTTATGGCCATCTCTTGCCACCTGCCTGTAAATCAGCAAAATCATGCTTCCAACTGCTCATCAGAGCAGTTCTCCCAGGTACTGTGTGCTGAGCTATTTAAAACCATTACAGAGCTGAGCTTTCTTTAAGTCAGGTAACATTCTAGTAAATCGGGCATTTGCTTCCTCCCCCATTTTGGCAATGGAGTGGGGGCAGAAAAAGTGGCCCTAGCTCTTAGTCATAAATACTGGGGTGAATATTCAGTTGAAACTTGATTTCAACATTTTTAGGAACTTGCTGTTTTGAGGCCAGCATCTTTCCTGCTAATCTGTAATGTCTTTGGCTCATCTAGATGCTGGTGCATGTAGACAATGAAGCTTCCATCAACCAAACTGCACTGGAACTGAGCACAAGGAGTCGTGTAGCAGAGGAAGAGGAGGAAGAGGAAGAGGAATCAGATTCATAAAGGGAGAAAAGAGCCAGGCTTAGTGATACAAGTTACATTTCTAAATCTCGGACTTCTCTTTTCCAAGAAATCATCTTGCCATGGACTTCTCTAGCTGCTCAGCAGATGTGTAGTTGCAAAAATGGCTCCATCCATAACTCTGTCTTCAGAGTGCTGTGACATAGAAAATCAAAGGTATGGTGTCACAGCACTGAGAGTACATCAGTGTTATGTCTGTAAGTTGGTTGGGTGCAGTAATTGCACTCAAAGTCCTCTGAAACACTCTTGAGCAAGTCTGGCATTTGCAAAAAGGGCAGATGTTAAATACAAGCCAGTCTTTCTGGTCTTTTAAGAAAACCAATTCTGGGCTGTTTGCACGCCTGAGCCCTCGTGAACAGAGTCAGCCTCAGTCTAGGACAGAAGCTGACGAGGAGAGGACAGAGGCAACTTGAGAGCACAAGCCACTGCTGCCTCGGAGGCGTTCTACTCACTGCCCACTGCAGAGCACATGGCTGGGGTGGTGCCTTGCTCAGACTTACCAGGTATGTGTGCTTAACAAGAAATTATAGATGAGAAGGGCAGGAAGGCTGAACACCCACCTCTGGCCCTGAGGGGGAGGTTGGGCACTTATTACCGAGAAATGACAGCTGCAGAGGCAGAGTTGCAGGAAGCGGGCATTGGAGGTCGGGACCCATTTCTGCATGCTGCCCCTTTCCACTGAGTATACAGTTATATAGTCGCTTTATTTTACAACATTGACTTCCTCTGCCCAACAACAAAAAGCCAAATGGAACTTTCTCAAGCAGAATTTATGTAACTGTACCAGGAGAAAAACATGGATACGTTTTTTGTTAACCAGCATTTCATAAAAGTTATTTTGAAATTTCTTACAGGAAATGAAAGTATAAATAAAACTGGAAGCTTAAATAAACATGTTCCTTGGAACACAACGTGAAGGCAGTTTTGGAACAAAAGCATCAAGGTATACACATTTTAGGGGGTCTAATGCAAAGTACAAGCATGGGTTTATTGTTACTTTAATCTCAGGATGGCTGACAGCATGGGTTTTGAGAGCTGGAAAGGTTAACTGTGGACTCTGGCTCTGCCACTCAGTGGTCACGTTCCCATCTGTAAAATGGATGTATTCACATCTGCTGTAGAACTTCCTGGGCTGTTGGGAGGTATGGTCTGTGGGATACCTCAAAGCCCAACTCTGAGGTGCCAGTGAGAGGAAGTGTGGGAAGGAACATAACACAGGGAGTGTCATTCTCGAAAGCCAGGTTATCCTTGGTAGAACTTTCCTGGAAAGTCTATTGACTCTGAAGTCAGCCTGTTTGGGTGTGAAGAGAGCTTAAAACACCCCTCAGGAGAGTGAGCATGATGCGGACAGGTCCAGGTTTGAGAGTCTAGGCTGTCCTGTTACCTCCCCTGAGGACACCACTTGCCTGAGTGAGACCATAGCAGAGGTGGCATCCTATCATTAGCAGAACACGGAGTGTTTGTGCTGCCTGAGAACGGCAGCTGGCAGCTCAGCAGCTGTACACAGCACTGACTGGGTTTCAAGTCCTGACTATACCCAAGCTCTGGGAGCTCCCAAGTAGAATAGACCTTTCATTTTCTCTTCTTTTTTTTTTTTTTAAGTTGGAGTCTCACTCTGTCACCAAGACTGGAGTGCAGTGGCTACTCCCGGCCACCGCAGCCTCAACCTGCTGGGCTCTGGCGATCCTTCCGCCTCAGCCTTCCAAGTAGCTGGAATTACAGGTGCGTGCTACCACGCCTGGCTAATTTTTTGATTTATTGTAGAGATGAGGTCTCACCAAGTTGCCCAGGCGGGTCTTGAACCCGCGGGCTCAGGCAATCCACTCACCTCAGCCTCCCAAGGCGCGGGATTACAGGCTGAGCCACCGAGCCCGGCTGACCTTTCATTTTTAAATACACATGTTGGCTCTGGTTTTCTATAACCTGCCCTTTCAAAGAATACCAGGGAGAAGCATTGGCCAGGCAGCCTCACATGTGCCTCGAATTTCGTACATTACTTTCCAGAGACAGAAAGGACGCCTGTGGCCATTGGGGGCATGGCTGTTTTCTGTGATGTCACTGTTACCACCCAGGCATGACATAGGCAGCACCAGGCACAGTCTCCCTTCCCAGGAAGGTGTGGGTGAGTGTAAATGGTAAGAGAAGTAACCACTGGCCAGCATAGCTGGGCAAACTGTCCAGTCTCAAGCAGAGGCTCCAGCACTGGGTTGTTGGTCCCTGAGACCCTGTGACATAGACAGGGCCCAGTTTGGCCTTGTGGAAATTGAGGGTCTGTGGAAACACTTTGTGGTCTCCATTCCCAGCCCCACCTGTTGCTGTTCCCTCATGCAGAGATGGAGGGAAGACGGGCCTGCTCACAGTCCCCATGGGTGGGGTGGCTGCAAGAAGAGCTGGGCACACCAGGAAGCCTGTGACACAGCCGGAGCTAACTGGGTGGCACTGCTGCTTGGCAGCCCCTGCTTGCCACCTGCCCACAGCTTGGCTGTACCATCTGACCCTGTGACTGAGGCGGGGAGAAGCTGATCACAGCAGCTGAAACAGCTTGCATGCTTTTTTAAACTTTATAGTATATTTATTAGAATAAGAGATTAGATCTGTTAAACATCTGGATTAAAATGGTTTAAAGGGTTTTCATACAGTTTTTAGGCACTATACACGTTGTTTACAACAGCATTGGTATTTGGGTATGGGAAAGAGAAACCTGACATGTTTTAATGCCTTGATTTGTGACATTCAAAATAACTCCACACCATTTTAGAAACACTAATCAAAACTTAGAGACGTAGACCACTAAATACCCACACAGTGTATTTTAAAATAAATAGAGAAATGCAGCCAGGAGTCTACAGGTCCTCAGGGTAGAGAGATGGTGAAGACCCAGCCACCACAACAGTGAGATCTCTGGCTGGACTTATGGGAAAACTGCTGAATTCTACATCAAAAGCAAATAATAAAGGGATGTGATGTACACTTTCTGATGCTTGTTTTCATAGCAGCAAAGCATGCTTCCCATGCACTGCCCTGAGGGTCTCACAAGGCCCCTCCTCACAGAGAAAGCTTGCCCGGCAAGAATGAAGTACCTCCAAGTGCCAGTCCCAGAGTGGGAACAGTCGAAAACCATTGCCCAGTCACTGGGATTCCCCTGTGACGAACCTGGCACGGTGGATTGTCAACATATACACAGATAGCCCCAAGCACAAAGCCAACCCACTCAGGGAAGCCACAATAGTCATAAGAATAAAGACAGGTATATTGAAACGACACGCAGAGGGTTTGGCACATGCTGTGTTCTTCATCCGTTGTCATAGGTGAAATGCATGTCTGACAGGGACAGGCCTGGGAAAGGCCCAAGAGCAGCAAGCCACCACCAAGCAGGGGATCACTCTGCTCCCAACGCCTAGATGCCAGCTGCGTGGGTAGGCGTGCTGGGCTGGTTAAGGCCGATGGTAGAGCACAGCCAGCCCGCAAAGTCCACTTCCTCAGCGTCGGATCTCTTGATAAACGCGTGAACCTGCATGCAGGAAGGCAGTGGTTAAAACCACAGGGAGGAAAGTCTGGGCCTCGGGTCTAGCCCCCTGGCTGCCTGGAGGGAGCTTTTGGTGCTTGCCCCTGGGGGGGGGCCACGGGGCAAGACCTGCTCCAGGGACACCCGCATGAGGCTTCGGGCAAGTCACTGCTCCCAGCCTGCTCCTGTGGCATGGACAAGGTAGTGGCCCACTGTGGACAACTTGCAGGCATGTAGAAGGGACAGAGGGCATGATGGACTTCAAGGGGCTGCCAAAGCTGTCAATAGTGACAGTTTCCTTTCCCACCTGCCCCCACCACCAAATGAGAAGCAGCAGGTGGACAGTGACCTAGGCACTGAGGGGAAGGTCAGCTGGTCAGTCCTGTTCCATGAGGGGTGGGCTAGCCTTTTCTCTTTCTTGGCTTTGGGTCCTTCCTACACTCAGGCTGCAAGGCCATCCTGCTGTCCCTTTAGCCTAATGGGAGGGCAGAAGGGTGGGGACTGGGGTCTGGGATCTGCTGCCCTGGTTCAACGGGCCTACTGTGGGTGGGGGAGGGCTCAGGTAGTGCCAGCAGGTGACTGATAGGACAGATGAGCAAAAGGTGCCACAGGACTTACAGACACAGACTCACCATAAGCTGCTTCAAGTCGGCTCTCTCTGCAGGGTTTTTTATTAAGCTTGAAGGAAGAGAGATGATAGTGTGAGAGCCTGGCCTGGCTGATGCGGACAACTCGGGTGTGTGCCTGTCCTCCCAGCCTACTCGCCTTCCTGTTCTGAGCACAGTGTTGTGCCCACAGAAGTTAAGGATTTCTTGCTGAATTAAACTACAGTCAGCAATCTGCGGGGTCCTGAGTGCATGCTGAGGAGCAATACGACAAGCACTGCTGTGGTCTCAGCACTGCAAAGAGGGCATAGGGCCAGGGTCTTTGGAGGAGAGAGGAAGGGGCAGAACTGGCGCCTCCTGAGACAACTGGGAGCTTGATAGCTTCAGGGTGACCTCCCAGAGAGCAAGGAGCCAACTTACCATTTATTCACGAAATCCTGAAATTCCAGGCTAAATACTCCATTGGGCAGTTTTGGAGGAGGCTGCAAATAAATCAGGATGTAAGAAACTGTCCCACATGCCCCGTCTGTCCCCTTCTCCAGGCAGTGCTGCCCTTACCCAGCAGGGAGGGCAGGGGAAGGTTTGTGGCTGCCGCCATACCACCATGTTGAACCACCGTCTCACACAGCAGTCAGGATGGGGCAAGGTCAAGTGTCCTCCACTCACTTGACTGGTGACTACACAAACCACTGTTCCTCTGAGCCTCAGTTTACTCTTGTATGAAGTGAGGAGAGTAGGCCTTGTACTCTCTGGGGCCCTTCAAGCTCTGGCACCACACTGGGGACTCTGAGTAGGGTGTGGAAGTGGCAGCAGCAACCTTGAGGTAGGTGTGCACACCCCAGGCCTAGCTGCACCAGAAGCAGGCCAGCAAGATGAAGGAAAACCCTGGTTCCAAGCCCTGAGAAGCAGCAAGAGGCTATGACAACAAGAACTGGCAGAGGGCAAGGTCAGGAGGGGGGTCCCCTGCACCTTCTGGGAGTGAGGCCATCTCAGGCATCAGACCGAGAACACTCATTGTGTCCCCATGGGCCGTGCAGCATTACATAGAAAAGGCCTGAGTGCCAGGCTCACAGCTTTCTGCAGTCCTGGGACCTGTGTGGGAGCTGTTGCTTCCTTGAGAGCAGCTCACCCCAGGCAAGGTCCCAGATGTCACTGCTCTTATGCACAGCTCAAATCCACTGGAGAGGTGACAGCCAAGAGGACACATTGATGTCCCACCACCAAGCCCTGCCTGGTTTCTTCCCTGCAGCTCTAAATGCCTCTCTTTCACCCCTACACGAGAGAGCCATCTTGAGACAAGGAATTGTTTTTCTGTCTTGGATCCCCGCCCACCTCTGCACCCTCACAGTGTTTTGCTCTTGTAAGTGCAGAAGAAAGCTCAGTGAATGAAGGTGCGAGAACACAACGGGACAAGCTGGGGGCTTCTTGGCCCTGGAGAGGAAGAGGAACTCGCAGCTATCCAAGTGTCCCAGGGGAAGGACTCCTCCTCACCTGTCACTCGGCTCCAGCATCCTGAAGCACACACCAGAACAGAGTCCTGGAGCCCACATGCAGGATGGAACAGCTCCCAGGTAACTCTGCATGGGCACTTTTTTAAGAGGAGCACATCAATTCCAAAGTCAAGGACACCAAGTAGTACTTACCTCATTGACTATGTAATCCAACAACTCAAAAATTGCCATGGGAGGTCGGCTGTCCATTCCATATGCTGCAAAAAAAAAAAAAAAAAAAAAAAAAACAGTTCTCAGAAACAGCCAGGAGATTACCTGTTCCTATGATGTGGGGGTGGGGACCAGAACAGGTCACAGATGGGAAACAGAGGTCTGAACATGGAGCGGACTAGCAAAGTCAGCCAGGTATGGAGGTGCTGCCATGCCCGGGGTTTGGGACCTTGGGAGGTCCACTGCCTGCCAAGCCATAGCTTCCAGTTTATAAAGCAGGCGGGCTGGGTTCTACCTTTCCTTCCTCATTTTGAGAGAGGAGCAAAGGAGATGACTAAGCACCTACATGACTTGGTTTTAGTTCTCCCTGACCCTGGGTTTCTTCCTCTCATAGCCCAGAGTCACGGCCATCTCCGGGGGCACAGCTGCCAGCCCTCCAGGGACCCACCTACCAGCCAGCCCCAGGGTCTCTGCTTTTCCCTCCACCTGGGCCCCCCTCTCATGTGGACCCCATGGAGATTTGTAAATGCCAGGTCTCCCCGGCCAGACAGGAACTACAAAAAGAGATGATAAACTAGGTCTGGTGGCTCAGCCTGTAATCCCAGTACTTTGGAAGGCTGAGGCAAGAGGATTACCTGAGCCCAGGGGTTCAAGACCAGCCTAAGCAACATGGTGAGACCTCATCTCTACAATAAATAAAAAAATTAAGCTGGGCATGGTAGCACACGTCTGTGGTTCCAGTCACAAGGAAGGCTGAGGCAGAAGGATTGCCTAAGTCCAGCAGGTCAAGGCTGTGGTGGCTGTGAGCATGCCACTGCACTCCAGCCTGGGCGACAGAGTGAGACTCTGACTCCAAAAAAAAAAGAGATGATGGCCAGGTCAGAGTATTCCCAGGGTGAGACATACTTTACAGCATCCATACTCAGAGTGGCAGGTAGTTCTGCACACAATGCCTATCATCTAAGTTTTCAGACTTGGCCACTTACAAGCATGTGGGGCCCTAGCAAGTTAAGTGCTCTGTGCCCGTTTCCTCATCTTTAAAATAGAGGGGTTTTTTGTTGTTGTTGTTTTGAGACAGGGTCTCACCCTGTTGCCCAGGCTGAAGTGCAGTCACGTGATCCCAGCTCACTGCAGCCTCAACCTCTTGGTTTTAGGCAATCTTCCCACCTCAGCCTCTCCAGTAGCCGGGACTACAGGCATGTGCCACCACACCCAGCTAATTAAAAAAAAATTTTTTTTATAGAGACAGAGATCTTTCAATGTTGCCCAGTATGGTCTCAAACTCCTGGACTCAAGCAATCCTCTTGCCTCAGCCTCCCAAAGTGCTGGGATTATAAGCATGAGCCACCATGCCTGGCTAAAATGGAGATTATAATAGTGTTCACAAATGAAATGCTACTAAAATTAGATCATGCTAGTTAAATCCATGGAGACAGAAAATAGATTAGTGGTTGTCAGGGGATCAGGTTGAGGGGAGTTGGGAGTTGGGGACAGGGTTTCTTTCTGGAGTGATGAAAATGTTCCAGAATGAGACAGTGGTGATGGCTGTGGAACGTGGAGGAATATACTAAAAACCACTCAACTAACACTTTAAACACTTTAATTTTGTGTTATGTGAGTTTTATCTCAGTAAAAAATAAATCTACCAGAAAAGTCATGATTAAAAAACAAATCAATAGCCTGTAGTCCCAGCTATTTGGGAGGCTGAGATGGGAGGATTGCTTGGGCCTAAGAGTTCCAGGCTGGGAACAGCCACAGAACTCCAGCCTGAGCAACACGGTGAGACTCTGTCTCTAAAAAACAAAAGACAAATGAGACAATGTATATGGAATGGTAAGCAGAGTCCCTAGAACACAGTAGGCATTCCATGATTGGCAGCAGGAGGCACTGATAACAATCATTTCATACAAGCACTTAGAGACCCTGCTGCCTCCCCCCCGCAAGCCTGGCATCCAGGGACAGAGAATCAGCCCTCCGGAATCACTTGACAGCAAGGGACCCCACAGTCCCAGCTGGAGACACACCAAGCCACTCACAGCTGAGAGGCCTCCCGGGGGTCCTGGGTCTGGGTGGGGTCTCAGCCGTGTCTCCCTCCACCTGGCAACCGAACAGCAGCTCCAGTTCCTTGGCATCTGGAGGAGGGATAGGGTACCTCCCTACCGCCATCTCCACCAGCGAGAGCCCCATACTCCAGATGTCCGACTGCACCGAGTAATGAGTCCCCTGGAGTCTCTCTGGCTGCAGGAGAGACAGAGACACAGTTATATCACCTGAGCTAACCTGGACTTGGTCTCTTCTGGCCCTTCACCTCGACTGCATACATCCTGTTTCAGGAGCTTCACTACATGCTTGAATTTGGCTTCCCATCTGCCCCAAGTCTTGTGCCAACCAAATTCCAGCTGGCCCCAAGGCTCTGACCACCTCCACCCCCATCACTACTCTTGTCTCCTTGTAACCTGCCCTAACTGCAGAAAAGACCCAGTCGGTGGGCTCTGGCTGTCACCTCCAGCCTGGCCCTGTCCTGCATGGGGGGACAGCCTGAGAGGCTCCTCCTGTCACTAAGTCTGAAACAGGCAGCCCGTGAAACACAGGTCATGAATGCAGTGGGACAGGACAAAGGCTCTGGGCTCAGGAGAGCTGGGCTCCCGTCCCCACTCGGCCCTGAGTCTTGGCCTCATTTGTGAGACGGTGCCAACAGCCAAGGCAGCAACAAAAGAACACAACCCCACTGCCTCCCAGGGCTCCTAGGACAGAAGTGGGTAGGCATGGACAGCAGATGCTAACAAACATAAGTTGTTGCCGGTGGCAAGATCCAAGGGAAAGTGGCAAGATCCAAGGGAAGGTGCCACACAGAAGCAGTATCTGAACTAGCATGTGTGTTTCTTTCTCGTGTGTGTGTGTGTGTGTGTGTGTGTGTGTGTGTATGTTTGAGTCGGAGTCTCACTCTGTCGCCCAGGCTGGAGTGAGTGGCATGCTCATGGCTACCACAGCCTCGACCTGCTGGGCTCAGACGATCCTTCAGCCTCAGCTTTCCAAGTAGCTGGAACTACAGGCAAGCGCTATCACACCTGGCTTATTTTTTTGACTTATTGTAGAAATGAGGTCTCACCAAGTTGTCCAGGCTGGTCTCAAACTCCTGAGTTCAAGTAATTCTCTCACCTCAGCCTCCCAAAGTGCTGGAATTTCAGGCTTGAGCCATCACACCCGGCCAATTTTTTTATTTATTGTGGAGATGAGGTCTTGCCATGTTGCCCAGGCTGGTCTCAAACCCATGGGCTCAGGCAATCCTCTCACCTTCACCTCCCAAAGTGCTGAGACGACAGGAGTGAGCCCCTGTGCCTGGCTAGCACATGCATTTCAAGAAGCCTGTGAGAAAGTCCTCAGCCATCCTGACCACAGGGCACCGTCTGGACATCACACTCCTCCCACAGCACTTTTCACTAACTCCAGCACTTGCCTACTCTGGAACTGATCGTATAACCACAAAACTAAAACCACTCAGCCCTGCTCAATAAGTCCCAGGGCCTGGTCACTGATTTTGAACTTATAAGCCAACAATCAAATGGCCAGGGTGCCAGTTGCTCATCTTCAGAGAAGCAACAGGGGGGAGCAGGGGCCGTGGGAGACATCGTCCAGGAAAGTACATGGTGCTGAGGGTGCTTGAGTCCCAGTGGGTAAAGCCAGCAAGGGGGAACACTGACGTTGCTGCCAAGCGCCTCCCTAAGGTGAGGAAGAGTGCATGCAAAGGGCCCTGGACGGCTAGATCAGGGAGGCGGGCCACTTAGCGTTGCTGTACCAGGACCTCCTCACCTCTGCAATGGTAACAGTCATGTGGCTTTCACAATGGCATGGAGCAAGTGAGATCTTTCAAGTATGTGCACTGTTCCGACAGAGAACATATCAAATGCTCTGTGTTGGGATCCCCTGCGTCCCTGGTGCCTGGTCCACTCCAGGCCTGTACTGTGTACCTTGTAGGGGCCACCAACTCATGCCACACCCTTCCACCTGTGCCATCAGCACTCACCTGACCACCACCGCCACCCAGGAACATGCTATCCACACACCCACCTGCCCAGTCAACCAAACTTTCCCCCACCCCAGCATGCCTTGAACACCAACCACATTAAGTCCTGCACCAGGCTCTGAGGATGAGACACCTACAGCCTGTTCCTGTCCCCAGGAGCTCACTGTGTGGAGGTGGGAAAAGAGCATGCTGATGTGGCCATGGTGTGGGGACAGCCACCACCATGCCTGGGTCCCAGAAGCTGGCAGAGTAGAAGCAGGATGGAAGCCCCCAGGGAGGGGCGGCTGGAGCCCAGCTAGGGACCAGCCTGCCGGGGGACAGGCGAGTCGGTGGCGGGACACAAGAAGGGAGAGAGAGGCTGGACAGTTCCAAATAGGCTCTTGGGAGCTGGGGGCTCCTGAATGCTGAGGGATGGGTGCCCAGGAGAATAAAAGCTGCCACTCGGGTTTCACCCTGGGAAACAAGGGCACTGTGAGCAGGAAAGGAGAAAGTGAGACTGTCAAGCAGGGTCACACCTCAGCCACCAGGTCTGAGAGTCTGAAGACAATCTGCAGATGTCCAAGGCAGCAGGAGTCAAGATTCCTCCAGAACAAAAGTCTCTGGGCCGGTATCACACAGTCCTGTCCAGAGAGTCAAGCCCCAGCTTCCCATGAGGCTCCAAGGCCTGCAAAGGCCAGGACCGACCCCTGTCTCCTCGAGGGCCAAAGCAATGGGCGCCGCCATGCATACCGACATGTAGGAGCGCGTGCCCACGAAGGAGTTGGCCATGGAGTCGATAAGCTGCCCGCTGACCCCGAAGTCGCAGAGCTTGATCTCCCCACGGGAGTTGACCAGGATGTTGGAGGGCTTGACATCTGTGGGGGCAGACAGAGAGGCAAGAGGTAACGCGGGGGGGTGGAAGGGGTGGGCAGGCCTTGCTCCCCTGCTCAGGGAAGGTCTGTCTGGAATGGGAATAGGACGGAGAGATGTGAGCTCCGCTCTGAGCCACACCCTTGGCCTGGGACCTTGGGACAGAGACAGCTGGCGTCCAGACTTCCAAGCCTGTTGCTTCAGTCACCCTAGCTGACAAGGCTCAATGTCTGTGGCTAAACAGAAAGGAGGCAGAAAACCCCAAATAAGAAGGCCTGGAAACTGGCTGAGGCCACTAAGGCTGAAGGGGATGGGCAGGTTAAAATTCCTATTCTCACCCTCATAGCCAAACAAGGGCCTGTCGGTGTGGCCACGGGTGGGGGTGGGCAGGGACCCACTACTCTCCCCAGAAGCCAATCACTTCAGCCGGCATGGCCATGTCCAGCATCAGCCATGGGGAGCTCCTCACCAGGGGCGGAGACCTTGGGAGAGGTGAATGTTGCTCCCGGCACCCAAAACCACACCTGTCCACTCCCCGCCCCACTGTCACCACTCCTAGTACACTGGCCCTGCACTCAAGACACCAGCCACCTCTCATTCACACAAGTGTCCTGTGACATGCACAGACCAGGGCCAGGCATCCCAAGTAGCAGGCAGGCTCTGCCTGGGCCAGAGTTTGGTGGACAGACAGCAGCAAACAAGAAGAGACTCACTGCAAGGGCGGGCCATATACAGCAGCCAAGTCCTGAACTGTGACACAACAGACACTATGGAGAGAACATTCAGGAAACCGGAGGAGAAACCAAACAATTTCAACTTCACTACTGACATTTTGTTATTTTTCCCTCCAATACTCTTTCATATGAATGCATTTCTTTTTTCTTTCTTTTTAAGAAACAGGGGGCCGGGCTCAGTGGCTCAGCCTGTAATCCCAGTGCTTTGGGAGGCCAAGGCAAGTGGATTGCCTGAGCCAGTGGGTTCGAGACCAACCTGGGCAACTTGGCAAGATCTCGTCTCTACAGTAAATCAAAAAATTAGCCGGGTGTGGTAGTGTGGGCCTGTAGTTCCGCCTACTTGGAAGGCTGAAGCAGAAGGATCACCAGAGCCCAGCAGGGCGAGGCTGGGGTGGCCAGGAGCATGCCACTGCACTCCAGTCTGGGGAACAGAGTGAAACTCCAACTCAAAAAAAGAAAAAAGAAAGAAAGAAACAGTGTATCTCACTAAGTTGCCCAGGCTGGTCTTGAACCCCCAGTTTCAAGTGATCTTCCTACCTCAAACTCCCAAGCAGCTGGGATTACAGGTGTGAGCCATAGTGCCCTGCTATCTACTCTTAAACAGAGTCTAACAGGTCTATTTGAGCATCTTCCCAAGTTAAACAGGAAAAAAAAATTGCCCTCCGATATCCCAGTAAGCTCCTCTTCTACCCCATCCCCACCTCTAGCAGCTCCATTGGCAGAGACACAGGCTGTCAGCCTCCTCTCTCTACACTCTGAACTAGAACACCAGACACACCGCAGGTGCTCCAAAACTCCTTGAATGACTGGCTCTAAATCCGGTATGTACACATGCATCCCTGCCCGCGTGGACACACACACACACATATGCATATGTGCAGTCCTTGGTGTGGCCTTCCTCAGACGCTGGCCCCTGGTATGCACCCAGGTCAGGCTCTTCTGCCATGTGCACCCACCTCGTCACCATCACGCACTGAACAACTGCCACACATAGGGCACCACGGCTCCCAGGAAGACAGAAGTCAACACCGACCAAGACCCCCATCAGGAGACTTTAGTGTGAGAACAAAGATGATAAACAAACCAATGAGCAAATGTGTAATGTCAGGTGGTCTTAAGTGGCACAAAGAAAATAAAAGAAAACACATAATCACGTGAGGGAACAGAGCCATGAGGGGACGCTGAGCAACAATCTGACGGAGATTGGGGGCAGCCATGGCCTCAGAGAGCCAAGGTGATGTGAACGTGGGATAAGACCTGACTGCTCCTCTGAGCCTGCCCTGGGACAGCGTGACACACACTGGGCCGGGGCAAGTCCAGCAGCCGCCATGGGAGGACAGGCACCTGGAGGTTGGTTTCTGGGTGTGAAAGATGATGCTGTGAAGGGTGGGTGTGGGACGCACCCATGGGGGCCACATGGCAGCACCCCAACAGAGCCCTCTCCTATGTCTCCTCCCAGTGCCATGGCCCCTGGCAATGAGCTATAGGCCTGTTTTAGATGAAGCAGGAGGCCTGTGTTCTATGTCCAGGTATTGGCCCACCTCCACCCGGCACGCAGTGTGAGCAAGTTCACCAGGCTGAGACTGGCCCATCACAAGACACAGGCCAGGATCCATGTCATGAGGCGTGGCACAGGAACACACACTATGCCACAGGACTATGACTTTGTCACAGCTGCCACCTAGGATCTGCTGTTCACAGGACAGTCTCCCTCTCCAAGAGGGCATGGCCCTGCCCGGCCAGTCCCCTTCTGCATGCACAGACCGTCCCAGGCTGGCTGTAGCACATCTGACTCCGTGCCCTTGCATTTAAGCTGACACTTCTCAAATGTCCGTGACACAGCCTGCCTCCATCCTGGCAGCTCCACTGCCACCGGCCCAAGGAGCAGCACTCATGAGGGGATACAGGGGAGGGAAAGCCCCAGGGGCCAGAACAGCAATGTGGGAGCCAGAAGCCCTGGTCAAGCACTCCTGTTGACTGGAGCCTCGCAAGGAGGAGCCGACGGAGGCCTGGGCATGTGACATTACTAACTACAGAGCATGCTGCTCACCTGCCACCTCTCCAGAAGCCCCAGTGAGGCTGGCTCCTCCCTGGGGACAGAAAAGTGGCACACCATGTCACACAAGGCCAGAAATAACTCTTTCCTGATCTCCCTCACACCAGCACCAGCCCTTCCCCTTCTTCCCTGTCTCTACAGAAACCAGCACTCTTCCAGGGGGACAGTCCTGTGGAGCCAGCCATGGCTCCCATCTGCCTCACTGCGTAGACCCAAACCCTCCTCCAGGCTCTCCATGCCACCACTGATCTGCCCGATGTGCCTCCTCCTCCCCTGGTTGCGGCCAGCCTGCCTCTCAACTGCCCCATGTGAGAGGCTCACCTTCTCTTGCACTGAGCCTACACCTGGATATCCTCCTCCCATTCAGCCTCCCCTCAACTTCCGAGTGCCTGGCTCCTCCAAGCTCCATCCCACCCTACATAATCGCCCACCCCTGCCATCCTAGGAGGTTTACCTGGGCCCTCCCACACTCGCCCAGCAGAGGCATTAGACACTCAGGTCACAGGTTCTGTTCCTCTAAACTTCCCCAGGTCCCTCCAGGCCTTGGTGTCTTTTCCTGGTCCCCTGATATCTGGAGGGTGATGTTGGGAGGACCCCAGTGCCAGGAGGCCAGGCTGCATTCTGGAGGAAGCACCAGCTATCCACAAGGCGCCCAGGCTGACGAGCTTCCTTAGGAGCCTACAGGACACTGAGATCTGATACCTCAAGCAAAAACAAACAAGGGTTTTATGAAAAACTAAGTAGAAGAAAGTACTTTCTTCTGTGATATTTTCTGCCCCAGAAATAACCACAATTCAAATCCCCCTGATGGTCCCCTCAAGAGCACACATTTGGAGTTTAACTGCTAAGCATTTTCCACCCCCTCCAAATCAAGGTGGTGGATGAAATAATTCAGAGGGCCATGAGTTTCTCCTGTAAACACAGAGTGACGGCACTGCACTATGAGTAAAAGGGACACAGTTCCCATGCCTGTCCTCAAGGTTTTCACTGCCAGGGAAAACAGAATCCAACCAACAGGAACACGTACACACACGTGTTGATGGCAAGGCGAAGACAGTCATGTGGTCAGGGCCTGCAGATTGCATCCTGTCAATCCTTCTAAGTAACCACCTACCAAGGCTACCGCCCACTCAAGGCCACCACCCACCCTAGGTTCTGGAAGAGCTGACAAGCTCCTGTGGGCAGATGAACCCAGGCAACCATGGGTCTCCTGCAGTTCCCCCAATGTCCCTGGTTGATTGAGGCTAACATTAAAAGAAGCTACCTTCCATAAAGCTGGATGGAAGGGGAATGCGCAGAGAGGGCAGAGCCACACACTCTGGCTTGTCTGTGACAAAGGATAAACCCAGAAGTGAACAAACAAGAGCTAAATGTTTAAGAAAACTGCCTAAGAGATTTTTTTGTTGTTGTTTTGAGAAAACAGGATTTACTGAGAGGGCAGAAAAGCTTCCACAGTGGGAAGGGACCCGAGGCTGTTGCCCAACCTAAGAGATTTTTTTAAATGGCACTTCAGCCTCCACAGGGCTACCACCAGTCAGCCAAGACCTTGGGGAACTCATTAAAAAGCAAAGATCATCAAAATTCGGAGAAAACTCCAAACTCCTCCATTAGCCACGACTCATAACCTCTATTTCCTACCCAATCCTCTTTCCCCAAGAACACTGAAAAACAGCTTGAAACCAAGCGCGAGTAAGGCCACAAGTCCCTGTACACAGGCAGAAACACATAGGCCTAGAGGGGCAGCCCCTATTGAGGCTGAAAGGGAGTCGAGGGCGGGCTGGGTGCACTCCAGGGCTGAGATGACTGGCTGGCACTCCAGCATTGAGGAAGTGCGACTCTGAAGCTGGGTAACTCCCATCACAGACCTCCGAGGAACAGGGTCTGACTTGGGGATGGCTGTAATCCTTGGACTTGGGTTAACAGAAAATCCTCTACCCTGTGTCATGCCTTGCCTCCTTCTCCACCCTAGCCATGACCGCCTTGGCGAGTCAAACAGAGAAGCCGCCACAGCAGGAGAGGCACCTCCCAATGCCTACCAGGGCCTTACAGGCAACTGTCTTGATCTCCCTCTTGCGCTTCAGTCAAGCCAGTGCGCACTGCAGGGGTCTCTCCACCTGCTTCCCCAGCCTCATCAGCTGGGAGGTGCTGCCTGTTCCCTCCATGCACCTTCCTGCCAAGTCCCTGCTGGTCCCCGACCCAGGGAGCACACAAGCCC